TTTCCAAAAAAATATTTAATGTACAGATTCTTAGTTACAATTTTATTATGTGTATAGATAGATAAAAAAAATACTTTAGGCATAAGAAATTTTTTATGCCATACTTTAACTTCAATTTTAAAAGTTAACGTTTTAATTTTAAACTTAACAGTATAAACACTCTTGAACTTTATTCTTCACTTCAGTTATAGTACAAAAATTGTTTTCATACTATCGTTAAAATTAATGGAAACTTTCGAGCTCGTGGCAAATGAGTTTGTAGTAGTGCTACAGTTTGATAGTTTTCTGCTCTAAGAATAACTTACAAAGAAAAGTCTTTTGTTTATAAGTTATAACCTACTTCCAAATGAAAATATGAGCAACTAAGCAAGTTTTATTTGTAATTTATTACAAATCTTTCAATCCTTATTTTGCAATAGTTTTAATTAATTCTTATTATGGATGGCGAGATTTTTACGAAGACATACCATATATAAATTATACATGTAGGACTCGTGTATGGTATGGTGTGCTCTTTGGAAGACAAATATTAACGGAAATACTGCCAAATATAACGGTTGTAAAAATACGAATTTTCATGGCGAATTGTTTCGAAGTTAAAGTTGTGTGTTTGAGTGCACTCACGTGGCTAGTTACATGTATACCTTTTTTTTTTTTTTTTTTTTTTTTTTTTTTTTATAGTTGGGAAATCCTATTACGGATACCACCCGACTTCCCCCGGGGTGGTTATGTGGAGACTCTCCGGCTAATGAGACCGGCATACCCACTAAAACCCAACTTTCCCCCTCTGCCGCCATGTGGGGCGCCACGGGATCGCTCTCGCATACAACCGCGACGCCCCGACGGTTGGCCGAAGCCACCAACCATGAGGCCGCCCCAAGCGGGACAACCCCATTATGGGAAGACTTACAACCCAAAAAGTGAGGCCGCTCCTAAGTCCACTCTGCTGATCAGAGAAGTACCCGGAGCAGCCCCACACCACACAAACACCGCCCACCGAAGTGGGCCACCTCCAATCGGCTGCAGAGGACAGGGAGTGCGGCAACGAAACACCGACACTCCTCTTCCCCTGCAGCTCCACCGCGTCCGCCATCAAACGGTGGCGGCCCCGTCTAGGCCGCGGAAGGTAGGGAGAACGGCGCACCGAAATACCGGCACTCCTCTCCCGCCGCGGCCTACCCCTCCGCCGAATGCGGGCCTGCGACCACAGTCCCGCAATCGGCACCCATCATCCGGTTGTGGGACCAAGCGGTCCCACCACCGGTGGCCGCAACGTCTTCGGCTCGAGGCCTAGACGAGCGGCCCCATCCAAGCCATTTGGTCCGCGCCGGATTTCTCCGGTACCACCCGCCCCTCTAAGCGGGTGGCATGCCCCTATCCGCCACCTGGGGACGCGCCCGGTAGGAGTTGGCTTCTCCCCCGGGAGTTACATGTATACCTAACAACCCTAAAGCCATCTCTAGACTGTCATATAATAGTTTAAAGTACGTATATGATGGTCAGGTGCATCATATATGTAAAAAAATATTTTGAAATCTATACAAATAATTTTATAATACAATATCTATACATATAATAAAATTCTTATTTAGTCGAATCTGTACATTAAACATTTTTTTTGGAAAATCTTATTGAAATAAACATTATTATTGATACAGAGGCTGAACCTATAGTTTTTAAAAATTTTGTCTGTCTATCTGTGACCACATCACGAGAAAACCACTGGATAAATTTTGGTGAATTTTAGTATGATGATAGTTGGTTAAACATATAGGATACTTTTTACTGCGGGAAAATATCTCATCTTTGACAAATCTATACTAAACGTTAAAACATAACTAAAGACGATCCCGAGTGGAGCGAGGGTGAATCGCTAGTAATGAATAAGATTTATTAAAAATATAAATAAGATATGCAACAGATGATTTATACTGTGTAAAAGTATACTTTTTAAATCCCCTGTAAAATAAAAAGCAGCAAGAGGAAGTAGATTTTGAAATATTAAGAATATTTCAAAGTCGAATTCAAGTTACTGCAAAGTGAAGTTTCCAAAGGCGTTACGCTTTAAAAGCGATGAATAAAACCGAACTTGTTTTGAGTTTGTTGTTGTAATTGTTTGAGCGATATAAAAACAACATAGCACAATAATGAAAGTTTAGTTTGTGAATTCAGTTTATGCGATATTTGGTTAGTAGAAGTTATAATAACTACAGTTTGTTCTAAAGACAATTAATGCCTGTCTGAACACAAACATTTGTCAGAGTGAATTCAAAGAAGAAACATTCGTCAAAGATTGATTTTCGCCTCATATTTCCTTAAATGGAAAAATCTGCCAAATATGATCTACATCAAAATTCATTTTTACTTTTGTGGATACCAAACAAATATTATAAATTCATAAAGCTATTCAGGCAATAACGATTTTACGATGGAAATTGAGAGCGCTATCAAAACATAAGCTTGCTCAATATTAATTTTTAATATTCGTCAAAGGTCAGTCTGTCATAAGCTTCAAAAGATTCTTTTGTTATGGTACTCTTTCATACAAGCAATAGGGAAAACGGACAATCTCGGTAACAAAAGATCGTGTATTTCACGTTATTGGATACCATAGTGTTTCTAAGCTAATTAGCTAAATGCATTGATTAGTTTAAAATAAGGGTTTTAAAAAACAATTAGATTCTTTTTGATCGATCGATGTCGAAAATAATAGAGTCTAAACAACAAAAGCTTAAAAGATATTCATTAATACTTTACAATTAAAAAAAATCTATTATACATTTTTAGTAATTTCCTATAGCAAACTAATATATAATCGTTGGAAGAAAAGTAAGTGAAACAACTTTAATGCTGAATTAACCATCACTGCGGCTGATTACTCTCGATAATTAGGTTTATCGGTTCATTATCAAGGGCAATCAAATGGAAACATGGTTTCCAGCTAGAGCTGTTCGTTAAACGTTATGATAACAGCTTAAATGTTTCTTTAAATAAAATTATATCTTCTTGTATTTCACTTACAATTCTTCTGCAATTTATTATTTAACGTTTAGTATAGACTTCTCAGAGATGAGATATTTTTCCACAGTAAAAAGTATCCTATATGTTGACCCGGATAACCAGCTATCATCATACCAAATTTCATCAAAATCTGTCCAGTAGTTTTCTCGTGATGCGGTAACAGACAGACAGACAGACAAAAATTCTAATAACTATAGATTCGGCCTCTGTATCGATTATAATGACCATTTCAATAAGATTTTCCAAAAAATATTTAATGTACAGATTCGATTCAGTTAGAATTTTATTATATGTATAGATTTAAAATATAGCACAATAGTTTACTGCTGTTTAACCAAAGTCGTTGCAAATGTCTTTACTAAACACTCTTAGATGAGCTGGCAGGGAACGCTTTTAGCATTAAGCTCGCTTTGTAAGCACTTATGTCATAGTAATATAATATGTGTACAGCTTATACTATTTATATAAATACAACATATAACTACAATACTATCAAAATACTTATAGCTTTTTATTTTACACTGAGTTCTCTATTTTCTTGCCAGTTCTCTATTCTAGTCAGGTATTTTCTGACGATTTTTCCGAGTTAGTGGTAGAGTTTTTGTCTTGTATCAAGAGAATATATATTCCTTATGTTGCGGGCTTAGATAGGGTGACGCTCTACAACCTTATTTAACCAACCAAACCAACCTTGCTTACCACGATATCAAAAAAAACTAAATCATCATCAAAAAAGTATGCTATAAATATTGTCATTCTCTGACAAATCGCTTAATTTTATAATTTCAATTATTATTTAAATAATTATTTGTAGTAGCGATTGCAGATTGTCGTCTTTCCTAAGGTCACGGGAGAGACCTGATTATGATTGCAGTAAAGCATTCGAAACGTCGAGAGCCAAAAATCATTATAAATTCGCGAAAATCTCCGAAAAGATAGTTTTATTTAAAATGTCAAATATTTGCGTAAATCTAAGAAAGTATTATCTAACTAAGATGCATATTTACTGAATATTAATGTCATATAACAAGTTTTAACTAGCTAGTAGTAGATAACTACATATGTATATTGTATATGGCTGGCTTGGCTTTTTTAAAGATGTTTCATTTCATGTGAATTGAAGTGAGTAACAAAGATATACTTAAATAAACAAATCATAAAAATAAAATGTAAACAAATATCTTTCTCATTTCTTAATAGGGAAAGGAAACAATATAAAACAGATAATAAAACCCTCTCTAGAAAATTATAAAAAAAGAATATATAATGAACGAGGACTCCAGTAAAAAGCTTTGTTCTCGCTGTTAAAGTAAAGCGGACAATCTGGAAAAATAACATATCGTCAATGGGAACATTTTCAACATACAAAGAATATGTGAACAAGAATTTTAAAAGTTAATGTAACGTAATCGTGTAACGAGTTTTCTTTTTCAATAGATGTTTTTTTACTTTTATTTAGATATTTACTTGATAGATTTTAAATGTAAGTATGAAATAAAAATATCAGTTTTACACCAAAAATCATTGGGGAGTTAGTAAAAGAAATAATTAATTACATATACGAGTACTACACATTAATTTTCTTATTTATATTATAGAATTTGTTAGTTTTTTTTACGAAGCCTCAAATTGATGTCATTTATGATAATGAAAAATTGCGTTCCTTAGCTTTTTAAAAAAAATACAAATTTTAATCGGTCTAGTATACCTACACATTGTGTTTGTTCTGAGTATTCTTAAACAAAACGAATATGATGTTTGGTGATTGCGAATTAAATAAAATTCATGCGCAGCACGCGAGTACAATAGCAAACTATAGCTAGTTAGTAATTATTGTTAATTTATTTTGACATATGTATTTCTGTTATTGTTTCAGATATTGCGATGTGTGTGAAATCGTAGAAGCCTTCACGGATTATAAATAATTAGAACAAATTGGCAATGCTTGATTGAGAATGTGCAAAATGTATATTGTAAATATGTTTGTCGTGTTGTTTGTGTTGGTGAGTGTCGTTAGTGGGGAAGTGAATTCGACCGAGGGTATCACGGGTTCTCGTATGGCATGGATGAAAGGACTTTTAGACCACCACGACTGGATAGACATTCTTGATGGAAATCATTCCATACCGCAAACGTGTGAACATGATTTGAGGCAGTATTTCAATGCTTTGAATCAAGGGAAACTATGGGCTTCTAAAAGTAAGTGATATATTTATTTTTGTTCTAGTTTTATAAATACTGTTTTTCAGAAATCTTCTATACAGATTAATAAAATTGAAGTGTCTATTTGTAATGTCAAAATAAGCTTTTTACTAAATGCATATGGAATCATATGGTATTTATAAGAAAAACACAATTTTTAAAATTTTTGTCTGTCTGTCTGATCAGTTTAGTTGATGTTATAAGAAGTAATTTCAGCTACTTTTATTTCAGTAAAAGAATTAGGGTTCCGCTCAGAAAAATTAAAATATACCAATGATCAATTAATGCGAGGGTGAGTCGCTAGTTTAAAATAAAGATAATTTGTATGTCAAGTTTTGCGGAAATGTTTCGCTAACTATTTGTGGCTACTCGTCCGAGACCTCGATTCTGCAAGAGTGGATTACACCGAATTAAATAAGATTTATAGCACTGCGATAATTAAGGCCACAAATCTTGAAGTTTGTTCATTGGTTTGGTTACCATTGAGATCGTTTAAAGGAGTAATTTCAAACTGAATTTATAATATTTTAATTGTCTTAATCTCAAAGCATTTAATAAATACTTTAATAAAGTCTGTCAACTTTTAAATATATTAAAGACATTATCATATTATAATATTACAAATGCGAAAGTTTATAAGTAAATGAATGTGATTCTTTTTTTGTAACTTCTGCACGGTTTTTGTAGAGATTTGGAATGGAGATAGTCTAAGTCCTGGATTAAAATAATACTTTTTGATTAAAATAACACAATGCAAACGAAGCCATGTGAACAAAATGTATTGAATAATGAAGTAAATTAGAAATTTTAATTCCGTCCTATATGTATATGAATTGAACATTTTTTTATGAAAAATAAAAAAATACTAGCTTGATTCCCCTTACAAACCTTCATAACCATTTTCATCCCCTTAAGGGATGATTTCTGGGATAAAAAGTATCCTATATCCTTTACAGGGTCTTAAACTATATTCTTACCAAATTTCATCTAAATCGGTTCAGTAGATCCAGAGATTACAAACTCACAAACTTTATCTCTTTATAATATTAGACATTAGTATAGACAAAGACTTTGTTATAAATTGTGTTAAATTGCCGTATAATTTGAGCTCAATTTAAAGTTTTAATTAAAATTGCGATTTAATTATGTACTACTTTAGTCTTTACGCAATTGTATAATGGGTTTAAAGATCATTGACCCCATTTATTCTATAATTACGTCGTAGTTAAAGCCTCTCTGTGACTAATTACGAAACGCCCTGGCCAAGTCTCGCGTAAAAAGCCGGCAAGTGGGCGGTCAGCGTCGTTTTGCAGTTCCCTCCGTTCTTATTTATAGACCTTAAGAACTTAGAGAAATAATAAAAAAATATACTTAAATGAATAAAGTAGGTCTTTTAAGTACATGATCATATTATATATTATATAAGTGACATAATATTGCTTCCTGCAAATTTTCGTCGTGGTCACCGTCGCCACTCTATGCGACATTTCAGTAGTAAAACTAAGTAGTAAGTAGACTAAAATGGCATTTCTAAAGAAAAAAAAGAAAAAAAATAAACAAAAGAAATAAATTAAGTTAGTGAAGGTCAAAACAATTTTGGTATCGCTATTCTTAAATAAAACGGTTCAAGACACAAAGCTAATATAATATGTACTTAAAGATGATTGACCTCAATACCCGACGCGTAATAAATGCCTTTCCATGCCTTGTTATGTAACTGAGAAGCTGCGACTCGAACGAGATTCAGCAAGAAGCCGTTTGTAGGTGTGTCACCGGGACTTTATAGAAAGGCTTTTTAGGTGATGCATATGTTATTCAATCGCCTCACAAATTTTACCTCTTACACAATTTAATTTTAATTTACTATAATTTACAAAGTTAAATTATTGTAAAAAGAAAATATAGAAACTTTTATGAAAAATGTAATGTTATGTAAAAAACTGAGGAACCAAAGAAAAGTCCAAGAAAAAAGGTGTAAGTCAAAGCAAATCTATTTAAATACTCATATATATCTATTTAAATCACATATGATACAGTTATAAAAAACCCAAAGATCTGTGCTTCAGACAATGCAAAAAACCTTTTATGTATCCCACATCGTAATTCACAAGGACAGTAAAGTATTAAGTGTGCGCCAATTGTTTATTTTGAATGTGACTCTCAAATTTTATAAAACTGTTATTTTGTCCCCGAAATACAAGAATTACTAGCCCGTCGAGTTTTCAAGATTCCTTTACCGAATGTAATTGTGTTTTGCAAAACGTTTTAGTCCATATATTGACACGTTAATATATAACAAGGTTGTCGGTTTTTGTGACATTAAATATTGCTCAGTTAAGACAAAAGTGGTGTTTTGGCTCGCTACTTTAACATTTATGATGCTACAGAAAACCTTATTTATGATACATATATCGTAATGGATTTCATCAATTACCTAAATTGTGCAACTGTGTAGATATGTTCATATTAATTAAGATTTTCTTTTTTTAAGGCACTTATTATAAATGCAAAATTATACAAGCAATACTTTTATCAACCGACTTCAAAAAGGAGGAGGTTCTCAATTCGACTGTATTTTTTTTTATGTTTGTTACCTCAGAACTTCGTCATTTATTAACCGATTTGGACAATTTTTGTTTTGTTTGAAAGGGTATACTTCTAGATTGGTCCCATTTAAATTTCAAAAAAAAAATACCACCCCTAAGGGTGGAAAAATAGCTAATGATGGATTTAACTTACTTCTAATTGTCATATTGACTTGAAACTTTGCAAGTGTTTCTATTTCCGTTGATAGTACAGTGGTTCGGTATTGTTGACCTGATCTGATGGTAAGGCCAGAAGGTGGATAGGTGGAACTCTTCAACGGCTAATAGTAGATACTTTGAGTTTGGGCTTATTTTGTTTGATTCGACTAGCTTAACACGTTAGAATTCTTACTTTAATACTATTGTCAACACTAAAAAGGGAAAAATAAAAACTTTTTAACAAAAAAATAAAAACCGACTTCAAACAAAAGCACTAAAAAGTAAAAAATAACTGATTGGTAGTTTTCATTTACTATACATACCTAATCAAATATTTTCGAAGTCGGTGTGCTTTGGCTAAATAATTAAAGCCTACCTATTAAATACATACCTAATCAAATATTTTCGAAATCGGTGCCAGCCCATACAAAGCAAAGCACACCGACTTCGAAAATATTTCATTAGGTATGTATAGTAAATGAAAACTACCAATCAGATAGTTTTTACTTTTTAGTGCTTTTGTTTGAAGTCGGTTTTTATTTTTTTGTTAAAAAGTTTTTTTTATAATTTTTATAGTTATGATTCTTTCTTTGTCACATACTCGTATAACTTTTGGTAGCAATGTTTACCGAGAAACAATATTTCTTTGGTAAATCAACTTGTGGTTACAACAACTCACTTAAAAAGAGTTTTTTTCATTATTTCTGTTGTTTAAGTTTAACGTTGTGCCTTCAATAATAAAATATAATGAGCTATACATGTATTTGCAAGGGTTGTAGGTAGTTTATATATTCCTATATAATGGTTTTTCACTATAATTGTTTTTTATGTTTTGTTGTTTATTTTGTATTACTTACTTTGTCACCAACTTACATACTTTTATAATTTACAATTCGATCGTACTTGCCGTACATTATTCCTTCGTCAAAAATATAATAGGGATCAGTTACAAAAAAGCTTTTACTAGATATATTGGCAAAAGCCAGATAAAAATGTTCGCGAAATTTTCCACTGAGACGATTTACATTCGTCGACGTATTTTGTAGCGAAGAGAATAAAAATTGGAAAAATTCGAATATTCCCTTTCAAATATCCCCGAAACATAGGAATATATTTGAAATTGAAATTTTAGTACCTATGTGAAGTCTTTATTGTATTCGCTACACCACAAATTGTTTTGATATACATACGAGTGAGTAGGTATATAAGAAAAATAACTAATAATATTCTTCACTGTGCAATTTATTTAAAAAATATTTTTATTCATATACTACTAGCGACTCACCCTCGCTTCGCTCGAGTTCGTCCCTACGTACGTTTTAACGTTTAGTGTAGAATGGATAGACTATAAGTCTATATATGTTATTTTTTCCTGCCGCATTGTTGTAGATGATAAGTCCGCCACTAACACCATCTATTGAAAGTAATCCGAAGTAGTGATTCCCACACAATATAAACAATGAGTTTAGACATAGAATGTAACAATGAATTTTTCAATTTTCCAGCAGCTCTTACGGATTTTCCCTATTTTTTTTAATACTCCTGACACAACTACAACAAAACAAAAAAGAATTATTCAAATCGGTCCAGCCGTTTTGAGATTTAGCGAGACTAACAAACAGCAATTGATTTTTATATACATATCTATATGAATTTAACAACATGAGAACTAAATCATCTAGAAAGTTTTTTTAGCAGAGTGATAAAACGCATGTTTTATAAAAGTTTTAAGGAACGCCTTATAATATAAGCAATAAATTTCAACATACAAACGTACAAGAAATCCTCCTTATATTTTATGCATATAGCTTGCATATATCTCCGACCAATCCTTTGAAAATAGCTCGCTTCTGAAGTTCTTTGACGCAGCCATTTTTCAGTACGTAAAGTATAGGGAATAAGTTCTTTAGACGGTTTATATTATATGACTTGTCGAGCACACCTTATATGTGCATCCATATATCATCACCTCCCACAATGCCTTTTTTGTATTCCTAACAATACAAAGAAATAATATATAATGGAGGGTTGCGTTACGACTTTCTTAATAGCTAACGTTCTTGCTCAACTTCACAAAACAAAAACTAATAATATTATAGGATAAATCACACTACATATTATTATAAATCCAAAAGTTGGTGTGAGTCTATGTACATATGTTTGTTACTCCTTCACGCTGAAATGGCTGAACAGATTTAGATGAAATTTAGTACATAGATAGACTAAAACCTGGACTAATACACACATCAATGT